CCGACTACCAATGTTGATGACGAGGAAATAACTTATAGGCAGTGTTTATTTAGCCGGTAGCATGTCTATTCGTTTACAAAGCATTTTAGTGATGATTGGTGAGGGCACACACCTCACCTACCTTTAAGGATAGGCAAATTCGAATTTTAGCCGGCTGAATAAACGCAACTTATATGCTTGTGTCCATTCCACTTACAGCTTCCACCGGTTTACGCTGGTAACAGGACAGGTATACTGCAGGCTAACAACCGCAGACCCGACCCCCAACAACTCAAGGCTTTCACAGTCACATCACGTGATCTACCCTGGGCTAGCGGAGGCAAAATGTCATCTTATTGTAAGTGAACTATATTGAATTAGATCTCCACGTAATTTCGTTAATAATGCCTCGAAAACATTACAGTGCGAAGGTCATTCCATCGGATTCGAATCCAAGGAAGGAAGAACTTCCTTTTGAGTGATCCCTTCCCGAAAAACGAAATCATTCCCTTTAGTTACATCGTAAACCATGAAACTGATCATGGAATTCACCCTTTTCATTGTAGAATGCTTAGCTTTAGGAAGCCCATACGAAACTCCTTATCTTTATTTACGATTTATAATTAATGCAGGCCAGTAACCAGGGTGTTTCTATATTTCGATCGAATCCCCCTTTTAAGCGATGCCCTTCTATTGCACCAAACGGTCAAAATGATGATGAAATTCACCATTTACATGCTAAAACTTTGACCACTACAAGGGCACCTATGCGTCTCTCTGGATATCTGGTACAACCCACCTTCAGAAATGCTGGTTACGCGCTTGCATGTACTTCCTTGTATTAAATTCACTGGAGGAAGGCAGTACTTGTCTGTTTACTTTGTTGTGTTTCGTTAATATAGTGCCTAGCAGTAAAGTGAACATTATGTTGCTGGATTCACCCTACGCATATTCTACGTCACATCTTGGACAACAACCACAAAGGTCGTGGAAGTTTAACGTCTATAACCAGCGTGCTAAGAGTGGATTCAAATTTTGGCTCGAAGAAAAAAAGCCAGTAAATAGTAAGTCAGGAGTAACATATCGTACATAAATTTGGATGTCCTATACAAAAGGAAAAAATATGAATAATAACTGTCATTATCATTATAATTTCATCATCATTATCATCATCTTTATAAACATAATATTAATAATTGCATTGAACATAATCATTATAATCACAATATCATCGCCATTACCATTAAAGTTACTATTACCATTGTATCATCATTATCATCATCATTTATTGCCATCATTATCTTCATCCCCATCCTCATCATTATCAGTATCAGTATGATTATCATCTACATCATAATCTTCATAATCGCCTACCCTTTTCATTATCATTACCATTATCCGCGTCATTATCATCCGCGCCAACACTACCACTGTTTGCTCATAGATTCGAACTATTTCCAAAACAAATATAATGCAAATGTAATACGTATCATAAACTTAAAAACGTAAATCATAATAGATTAGTAAATCCCTTTTAAGCGATAACGACGTTTCGACCGACTTCCAGTAAATAAATTCCATATAAATTCAAATTACAAATAATCAATTGTGGTGATTAATAATCATACTTTACATGAAGTGGTAAGTAAAAGAACAACCGAGGAACTAGACTCTGGAATTATTTAGATTCAGAATTTACGATCATAGCTGCAAATAGTCTTATTACTAAGCCACAAATCACACTTAGCTCAGTTATGATTATTTATTCACAAGTCATGTAAAAATGTGCAACTCATGTATAATTTCGATTTTCAGTATCCATTAATATTTTATTGTGTGTTTTGATTGTGCCTGCAACAATTGTCCATCAGTAACAATATTCTGAAGATGAATTAGCCATTAAATAAGCATTATCATTATTATTATTATTATTTTTATTATTATTATTATTATTATTATTATTATTATTATTGTTGTTGTTGTTGTTGTCTTCAAATTAAGGGGGAATATTTATGTCAATACATTACATACATAATTTATAAAGATTTCCCAAAGATATTATATCAACTCTTAATACTGATATTGTTTTTTAACCCAATCAAACGAAAGGGGAAAACATTTAAAAAAATATAAATAAATTTACATATTCGAATAGTGTCATCTGGTTTGCTTATTTTAACTGTATAACTGCCTTATCAACGAAAGCTCTCATCAATTTTGTTTGGCATATTATCGATAAAACCGTTTTCAGTACATGTACAGAGAAAATATTTTAGGTTCATTTTTTTCGTTATTGTGATATTGAAGGAAGTTAGCCGTTAACACTGTTGAATAAATATAATATAAATCATCAATGGTACATATACGGTGTTTATTAAGGACATGATGGAACATCGTAGGCTACCCTGTAGCTTTTCAACGAATAAAGTCCTATGAAAAATCATTGTGTAATAAAATGCCTCCGAAGGGATTCGAACCTGCGACCTCTCGCTGACAAGGCGAGCGTCATAACCATTAGACCACGAAGGCTTCATGGTTGACCAGGTCCAAATACCCGTCGGGAACATTGTATTACACAATGCTATGCCTCAAGAGGGCGTTCGGCCAGATAAATCTGGAAGTACGGCTAGAAATACTGTCGTATATTATATATGATATTGAAGGAACAGGGTAGCCTACGATGTTCCATCATGTCCTTATTAAACACTGTATATGTACCATTGATGATTCATTATTGTGGTTATGAAAAAACATGGACTCTAGTACTGTATGCAAAATTAGATAACAACCTACGTTTCTTGTTCATAGCAAAATTAATTTCAAATCCCTCGATTCCGACTTAGTAAAATACAAAAAAAAAAAAAAAAATTATTATGGGCCCGAATTTGGCTTTCACTTCTTGAATCTATTAAGTCCACTCAGTATTCACCTCAATCATTTAAAACTAAACTTAAATTTGAAAAGATTGCTAAGAACCATCCGTAAATTAAACTCGACTTACCCATCCGTTCCTCTTGGTTCTTTCTTGGCTTGTTGGTGCTGTTTTTTATTTCCTGATTGTTGTTTTCTTTTTTTGTGATTTATTTTTATTTGTACAGTTTACTGTAGTTTAATTTAGTTCCGGGACCACCATACGGCTTTATGCCTCCTCGGTTTCCGGCACTTGTTAGAAATTTCAAGTGAATAACGTGATTGAGTTGAGTAAGTGATGCACAGGTCCCTTGTTTATAACATACCGTACATGAACATTTGTTTTTTTTTTTATTGTTCTCTACAATGTGTTTTCTGTATCCTTTTCATTATCTAATTATTACCTGTAAGTTAAGTTATAAATTCGCCTTCATCTTGTATACTTAAGGTAATTATTATTATTATTATTATTATTATTATTAT